TTCTTGACATAATTGTTTCACATTCCCCTGATGCTAAAACTAGGTTTGTAGTATCTGCAATACTGGTGAGTGCTGCTTTATGAACAGAATTAGCCAGATCCCGACCATATTTTCAAGTTTATCTATCCGAAATCCCCAGAAGAGGTGGCAATGGCGTGAGCTACAAACTGCACAAGTCACGCTTGCCAGACGTGATATCCATCAACAAGCCAATGACTTGCTGTTCACATATTTGTACTGAGACTTTGCTTCGGCAGGGCTCTCAACAATTTTGACGAAAGTGGTCCTAATTGTCGCGTAATTACCATGCCAACATTCAACACAGACAGTTAACTTGCGATAGTTGATGAATCGGACGCGGACTTCTAGGCCATCATCGCATCAACCATGACATCGAAGGATAATCATGATACCCGTTAATTTAAGTACGCACTTGATTGCGTGGACGCGAAGAACTATAAATACTGCACAGACTGTGCCTGTATCACAATATGTTGCAATTGTCTTTGCGAATAGGTTCAAGCGAGAATCATAACCCTAAGGCCAATAAGTCTCTTATTCCAGCAATCGCATATTGTCTGGCTGGTACGTTTTTAGAAATGGTTATTATTTCAGCTCCTTCATACACACAACATGTACAACACCTGCATATATCCATTCACAATCTCTGCACAAATATAGCGTCTTCTCTTTTAGGAGATCACACGGTTGCCTAAAATGCAATATTCGCACTGCTCTCTTTTAAGTGCTATAAGAAAACAACTTCAACTCACAAATGTCGCATTTTGCGTAACACTTCTGTGTCCAAAATATTTTGACATGTCTGCTAATACTAAATATTTCGATTTAGTGCAATGATACGCAGCCACTTAAAGTGCATCAATTTACAACATTATTTTGGCCGTTTTAGTGCTTTTTGGACTACAGTGAAATCTCGTAACATTACTTGACCTTATTTTCGAAGCTTAAAATTTGTGCAGGGACATGACAACTTCCATAAATTGTAGGATCAAAATTTTGGCCGGATTTATTGAATTTATATATTTCATTTGGTCCTTTGTCCTCAAAACCCTTAGAATAAATTAATTGTGCTTTACTGCGTTGCTCAAACAGAGTCCGTATTTTGTAGCAAAAATCGTATGAGTGTACGCTATATACATCATGGAAACAGCTTATCTATATTTAAAAGCCCATTAGCCTTAAATAATATATGCCTTGCCCTTTAACTTTTCATTAATTCTTTGAAATAATTTTAGCATAATGCCAGTGGTGCAGACTTGTATGTGCAGGTCATTCGCCGGCTCAATATCTTGGAATCCGACTATTTTGACCTTGAGTTCGTCAACGAAGACGGCATTCGAGTAAGTAACCTTGAACAGTGTTTGCATTTATTAATGGGAATAAGCTGATTTTTCCTTGTCCCAGCGGCTAGGAAGAGTTTAACGAGGAAATAGGAGTTCTTGTAAGAGCTAGGAAGTGAATTTTGGCATTTTGAAAGAACAACAATCGGGAACAGTTAAGAAATGGATTCTGGGGGGATTGAACACGAATAGCTGACGCAAGGGGCTGGATCTGAACTGAAAGATAGAGTTTAGTCCTCCGTAAACGTTGACCTTACAATCGAGTACTTGCCAAATCACAGTTTACTTTCTTCGATCCGAATGCTGCGTATTGTTCAGTAATTTATTTATAGACAGTATAAATTCGTTCATCTTCCTTTTTATAATTACCCTTTTTACAGTTCTTTTCCAAAATATATAAGCAATCAAAGCCTTTAAAAATTTCTTTTAAGATACTCTTAATATGTGTCCTTCTCTTACACTAAAACCGTTAGAATTCCGAAATAAATAAAACGATTGGTTTTATTTTATCGAAAATCCTAAATATTAAGAATCTTCATTCGAAACATTCATAAGTTTCTCTTTTCCATTGGCGAGGAAGACGTAAATATTTTTTTTCACTTTCAGTGTTGGCTCGATCACACGCGACCCCTTATTCGTCAAATAACCCATGGGAAGGATTTCGTTTTCCGTTTCTGTGTCAAGTTCTATACCCCACATCCAAACTTACTGGAAGAAGAATACACACGGTAAATACTATTTTGTCCATTTATCTTACCTTTTAAGGGATAGTCCGCAACGAAAAAATTTTAAACAATAAATTGGACTTTTCAGTCGAAACTTTTACCAAATTGATTACCATTACATATTTTCTATTGAGTATTAGAGGATGATAACACGAAAACAGACAATGTGCTCGACGTTTCCGAATTCATTTGACTCATCCTAATGCTTCGTTGTCAAAATTTTTAGATGTAGTTTCAATTGAAAGCAGTTTAACCGCCGCATTAATTTTCGGTTTGGTTGCCTTCTCTCAGATGTCTGTTACTGAACTACGATCGCAATTTTAATGGCCCACCTTCTATTTCTTACCATCTAGGTCGTTGAAATAATCGACATTCTGTACAAACTGTCGCTTTTGAAAGCGAAAGCATCGCCTTTTTTCTGACAAAGTTTGTTTGCTTCGAGAAAATCATCAATCATTACGACTGAGGAAATATTCATGGGCAGAACATTGATAAAATTAATTAAATGAATCATTACATATCGTTGTTCAGACTGTATTATACATATCTTAATAGGGTTTAAATCTGCAGTTAAATTTATTAGATGCGATTTAAGTCCCAAGATCATTTTGTGTGCGTCAAAGAAAAACCCTGGTCGTAGTTCCTGCCCTATGTTCTACGGTACAAGAGCTATGAAGCTGTTTACGAGGGATATCGTTTGAACAGGCTCGTTAATAACTATTTGTCGAAACGTTGTCTGCCCCTACCCTCATCCATCATGTGTCTGAAATCCACAGGCGTTATTCCGAAAAAAACCTATGAAGTTTAGAACTAAAGTATTTAACGTTTTTGCCTTTCGTACGCAAAGTAAAACTAAAAAAAGAATTAAGTTGTATGAAGAGGCATCACAATAGGCACTTTATAGCTTCCAGGGCCCCCTCGCAACCTTCCAGGCAGATAAGAGTTAGGAATAAGGTAAAGTTAACGTTTAGACTTACAGTTAGGGTAAAGGTGTGCATTGTGGTTACTATGATGTTTAGGATAAGGAGACAGGAATATTTATTCTTCGTGAATTTTGTGCACGACCAGTTGGGTTATTGGGGCGTTCGTAGTTTCGCGTTTTACCATTTCTATCAACGTCTCTGACTATTCGAGTGCAATTACAGACCCGAATCCTGACGTACGTTTCTACGCATTAAGGAGAGTGCGAGGTCTTGGGACTTCTAACTGTAGGACCACGTCCGCTCATTCGGAATGCTACTGCGTCCTATTCAAGACACCTCATGTCTTTCTCTTTCAGGTACCTTTTTGCTTTGCAAATAAAACGCGACTTGGTGACCGGTGTCCTGATCTGTAGTGAGAATACCTCCGCCCTTCTTGCATCCTACATCGTTCAGGGTAAAGCAAAACAAATCACTTTTTATGGTTTTGTTTTTTAAAGGCAACGAGTCAGGCCTGCCCGCCTCAGGAGTTGAGTAGGAGGTTAGGGCACACGTAAAAACTATTCAGTAGGCACAAGTGTGTGTGTTGCCTGAATCACAATAACTTGCCATTTGGCCACTTTGAATCGTGGCCACTGTTCTACTTGAAAGCCATAGCTTTCTGTTAAGCATACACACATTCGTTCTTATGGCTGTCAGTCCGCTTCCGTTTTTGAGTATAGCGCTGCAACTATGGACATGCTCGCGAACCGTTTGGCTTTTGAGGGTGTTTTTGCTCACTTCAAGTTAAAAAAAACAGAAAAAGGTACCCTTTTTCTTACGTTTCACTGAGTCATGGAATGTTTGCGTGCTAAATAGTAAATGCAATTTTCTAAGCACGCAGTGGCCATTTAAGCCCAGAAAAACGATATTGTGCATAAGGCGTTTAAATTTACATAAAAATTCAGGAAGATCTTCACTTTCTCGGAAAACGGTGACCCATATTGTTATTATTTAGATCGCTACGGCAAAAAATCCAGTTTAAACCTTATGTTGATATAGGATTCGATCTATAACTTTCCGATACTCGCTAAACTAGATGTTGAATTCTTAACTTATTGAACTTTTCCATATTATAGTTAAATATCAGTCGATTGTAAGGAGCGTTGTCGAGTTTCTGAGAACGATTCCCTGAAGTGGTTGACATTTTAGTTTCTGATAAGTTTTTTAACCTCCGTCTGACATCATGTGCGATCTTGGAGTAAGTCTCCTAGGAACAAAACTTTCCTGCTTGTTCCGAAAATTGGCAGGTATATTCAAGTCGAAATCAATGTTATTCAGTGACCCAAGTGCGTAATATTTTCAAGTTGTTAGTAAACAGTCAGTAATACACATGTTTTATTGATTCCCCCAAGTAGCGATACATCCTGAAACTTGTACTCTAAATTTGCATGCTAAGTTTTGAGAAATTAAGTAAGCCCAACACTTAAACTTTAAATACGTACTACAAAACAAACGAAAAAGGCTAGGGAGCGTATTGGTGAGCCGCACCTCTTGCTGGTGCGCTATACGAAAACAAAAAACGGTGAAGCGTTTGACTAAGCTTTTAACTAATGCTCATGTTGTCAGTATGGTAAACCTGTCAATGTTTCAACTTACTTTGACTTCCGGGTCTTAAGATCACCTGAATGTGACTCAAAATATCCTTTAAAAATGTACAAAACTCAGTTCAGAACCTCCTGATGAACCAACGACCTAGAGCGTTGTTGCATCATTGCTGTATCCTTGTTTGTCTCTTGTAGCTGAAATAGGGGACTTCATAAAGGAAGAATACCACGATATCAGCTACCTGCGGCCTCTGAAACTCCTCCATGAGCCAAATGATGACCGCCTGCATCGAATCATGGAATTTCATAAAAGTCATATGTACGTTTAATGACCGTTCCATTTTATTGTTTGTAAGGTAATCACCACATAAATGACACTGTCTAGGCGATTGAAACTCAGGTAACCTCCTCCAATATTGTCGGAGTCGTGGGTCAATGCGTTTTAAAAAAAATGAAAAAAGATTTCGCAGTTTGCGAATGCATGCAAAGTTTTGCTTTCCACGTGTTTGCGAGCATTAGAACAGTAGTTTTCTTTAACCTTGTTTTAACCTCTGATTTCTTTATGAGAAACTATCTATCTATACGAATGCAGTCGCTTTCACTCCGATGTACCTCAAAGCTATGAATAACGGGGAATTCCATGTCAATTTCGATTTTACGGTGCAAGTGCCCCATCACTTTGGCCTGACCAGTTGATGGGATGCATTGTGCTTGGTTATATTCATCAGTTTTGTGTATAGTGGCAGACATTTTGTGGTTGTATGACTGTCTCAAACGGGAAGGAATAAGCACCAAAAGCTGTTCTAACAAAGCCTGCTGCGTTTTCTCCATACCTGACGTGCTCTACCTGATCCTCAACACGAGGTACCAGCAAACGTGCTATGTAAATCGAACTGGATAGGCGAGCACGCCTTTCAATGTGCATAGTTATACAACGGTAAGCGTTAGTGGATTTTGCTTCGATGGATCTTTTTAACAGTCGGCTTGACCTACCTGCGGACAATCTCAGCAGCTATTGCGTGTTTTTATCCAGTTTATGAATACGGACACGGTAAAGACTGACTGAATGAGAGAAAAATAACTCAGAGGCCGGGTGGGTGTCTCATATAGCTGGTGACTTTCGGCACCTCATTATTTTTCTTGCTTGGCCAGGCTGCAGTCTGGTGTACGTTCGCATGCTCAAGGCGCCTGTTACTCTACTCAGACTTCCTCTTCTACTTTGAAGTAAATTAAACTCTCTATACTTATTGTTGTTTGACATATATGCATATGAAAAATATGAGTTTTTTTCACAAAAGTCAAATTGTTGAAGCGCAGTGACAGGAATGTCCCGTGATACGGCTGGCCTTGCGTTTCACTCCAGGAAGGTTACCTATTTCCGTGTAATATCCCGAGCATTAACCCTAATCCTTGCCTTAACTCTAGCGGTTGTCTCGTTAGAACTTCACACAAGGTCACCTGTATTCCGGGGTTCCCATTCATATATTCCACCCCTGTGGTATGTACACTCGTGAATTTGAATGTTGGCGGCACCAACCCGGCATCAGACAGGCGAAAAATAAGTGGAAAGGGAGGATTCTTAAACTATGTGCACAATTGGCGAAACG